TGGTTTGAATTAAATAGTGGAGCATCAAAATTTAATCTATTTAGAAGTACACATACTAACTTTCGTACAGAACATCATAATACAATGGTATTCAGGAATTTTCAGATTTGGAAATATTTCAAGATAAATCTTTCTCAAATATTATAGATATCCTGAACGACTCTATTTATATGATTATTTTGTTTGCAATAGTAAGCCTGGTAAACATTTGCATAGGGATTGTGTTGCTATCCTTACAATAGATAGAAGGCAAAGCAGAGAGCAAGGATGAGAAACTGGTTAAGTATATACTGATGTAGGGGAAAAATTGAGGTAGTGGTCTCAAAGCTGAGACTAGGCTCTTATGATCTCAGCCACCAATTTACTTCTAACTCAGTGGCAGGACTATATTAGTACATAGACTAATTTATTTCAGTATAATAGGATTGATATAGATTCCTTTTTCTTTTTTTGGGAAGACTTAATTATGTTCCCTGAGCAGTCTGTTTGTTTAATCACTGTGGTTAGGAAAGGAGGATTCATAGAAAATAAAAATTAAATTCTAGTTGTTGAAGCAGGAGTGAAAATGGTCCTCTTTTTTGAAGTATTTTAAAAGTTATATTTAGATTTTTTTTCCTATAATTCCAATGAACATCAAAACACTTATCTAAGAGGACATAGTAAGCAACATAAATTTATTATTTGACTTATGAATATAAATGAAAATATTTAATTCATTTTTATAGGTCTACAGTTTTATTCCTATAGGTTTTCACTGGCAAATGATTTTTTAAAAAAGTTAGACAACTGAATGCATTCTTTTGAAAAATACTATTGACTGCAGAAAATTCTGATTAATTTTACTCTCTTGGTGGTTAACAATAATACAGGATATTTTTATTTCATAATTTAGGATTGATTTTTGCTATTATATTTTCTTTACTGTTGATTAGAGCCCTATTCTGATAATTTACTGTTATATCCTCTTACAATCTCTTAAATTCTTATTATTTTGAGAAAAATAAATTTATTTCCATATATGCATCTCAACATTTTTTTTTTTTTAGTTTGAGTTTATGGCCCTACATAATGTTTCTAATTTCTGCAATATTTCATGACAGAATTGTTAAATCTACAAACTATTATTAAAAAATTGTTAACCTTTTAGTACACGTAATGCTAAGTAAAAAGACTGTGTTTTAACATAACCACAGTACAGTTATGATACATAACAAAATTAATTGCTTAACATAATTTAATATTAATCTGTGTTCAGTATTCCCAATGTGTCTCAAAAATTTTGTTGTTTCTTTGTTTGAATCAGGATTTAAACAAAGCACACCCAGTGCATTTTGATGATTGTTTAAAATTATGTGTCATGTCTTTCTTTCTTTCTTTTTTTTTT